GAAAAAAAGTGTTTTCATAAAAGTAATTTGTTTTATTTTACTTAGAAAATGAAGCATTCTCCTAATTATAAGAAAAAGACAAGCAAGACAAGTTTTCGCCCAGTGCAAAATATCATCTTGTTCAGTATTTTTTTTGTTAGATTTAATAAAATTTATTTTTCCATTCTAGCCCTTTTGGTGGTTGATACTTCTAGAAAAAAACATTTTTAGAAAAAAATAAAAAATACCTTTTAGTTTATTTTGAATGTTTAATTTATGAGGCAAACAAAGTTTAAGATCTATAATAATTTTTTTTATAGAAAATAAAGAAGAATCTTGGAATCTCGATAGTTCAAACCTTCGCAGTTTGGAACCTAACATTTTTAGATTAATATTTCAGATTTCATTTCTAAAAGGGGAATCTATATTTATTTGAATTTTAGAAATTTTTTAAATATTTCCAATATTTCACAGTAAAACTGAATTTACAGAAGAATCTTAAAATCTTACGATCTTTGAATAACAAATTATAACAATCTTAAAATCCCATATTTCTATTTTTTTATTTCAGAAATTGCTCAAATTTTAGAAGTCAAATGTAGTGCTTTCAAAATTTTTAATTTTTCAATTTTTTGAAACGTAGACATTTTTAAAAGTTTTAAAAAGAAAGAAAAGTTTAATATTTAAAAAATATATTAAATTATTAAGAAATATGCTTGTAATAGAGGTAAATTGTGCTTAATTTATCTCGAATATATTTCTGATTGTTTAATATAATTTTTTGTAAGAAAGTTAGAATGTTAAAAATTCATTTCTTCAATGTCGGAACCGGAAGTGTTATGTACTTGTGAATTCCCACTTACGTTTCTTATTTTTCGGTATTTCGGGCAGTTTCCTCCTCCGCCGTTCTCCCGTCCAAGGAGTAATCGGAGTACTCCTCGAAGGTTCTTTCTTGTCGCTTGTGGAGGAGCCCGAAAGTCTCGTCTCCTCTGCGATATCACAGTCTGTTTCGGGGTCGCTCTTGGAAGACGTGGGCGATTCTTCATCCACGACAACATCATGAACTAAGCTTTAAAAACGTCAAGTGAAATCAATACTCGAGACTTGACCAAAAAACCCTTGTTGTCTTTCAATTTTTATAAAACACTGGCAATTGGTACTTACGAATAAAACGGTGCTGGATTTTTACTGTGCGATGTTAGTTTTTCAAAACTGTGTCTAAATTCCTCAAACTCACTATCAGCCATGTTTATTTTCAACCCCGCAAGTATTGATTCGGGGTGAGAAAGCGATTCTGCGCCTGTTGCTCCTCCTGTCTTGCGTATCTTTAGCCTTTGTGATAATTTACTTAGCCGTTAAATAATCACAGATTTGGTGAATGATGCAGTCTTATTAGATTACAAGGACAACTTCATGCTGGATGGATGATAATTTAGTCGTATTGTGCGCGCAAGAGGACTTCAATTAATGAAGCTTATCGCTAAAGGATTTCATTATGTCAACCAACGAAGTGATTCCCATCTCAAGATTTAACAATAGTAACAACAAATCTGTAGACAGATTATACAGAGTGGCTCAAACGAATTACAACCAAGACAAGTTTTCGCCCAGTGCAAAAAATCATCTTGTTCAGTATTTTTTTGTTGAATTTTATAAAATTAATTTTTCTGTTCTAGCCCTTTTGGTGGTTAATAATTCTAGAAAGAAACATTTTTGGAAAAAATTAAAAATACCTTTTAATTTATTTTGAATGTTTAATTTATGAGGAAAACAGAGTTTATTTTTTAAATATTAAACTTTTTTTTCTTTTTAAAACTTTTAAAAATGTCTACGTTTCAAAAACTTGAAAAATTTTGAGAGCACTGCATTTGACTTCTAAAATTTGAGCA